ACTTCCTCCACTTGGCCAAATTTGGCGAAAAACGCTCCTATTCTGTCCTGGGTAATGTCGACAGGAACGCTGTGGACAGTAATACGCGTCTTTCTCGTCCCCATGTATTCTGTTTGGAGGCGCAAGTTTGTTATGGACAAGATGTTTCCGGCCAGCTGCTTCGCCTCTTGCTCCGAACCAAGCAGAATGTCCCACATGGCATTGCTTCTGCGGGCTAACATTTTGGGGGCAATCTCGAGGGTCTTTAGAGCATCCTCTACATTGTCTCTGCTGACTCCAATCAGTCTATGGGTTTTGACATCCGATGTCAGCAGAGAGATAACTTTGACCTTGATAGCGTCCAAGAATTGTGATAAACTCATTCCCATTCACGTACTCTCCGTATTTCAGCCGTTGTTCTTCGTAATAGGAAGAGTCTTTTTTCTTCGGTCTCCTCTGGGACCAGGCCTGTGTTTTCGCAGGTGACAAATTTTGAGTTTGCACCGGCGGTGATTCCGTTGGTGGAGTCATGCGTTTGTGTCGTAGGCCATTTTGACCGCGACCAAATGAAAATAACTGTATTCGCTTTTTTAAATTTTTCCTTTTCAACTTTTGTTCTTTTCTTTTTTTTTCTCTTTTCTTCTTTTTTCCTTTTTTCTCCAAAAAGTATAAACCGAAAATAATACGAAAGAAAAACGTGGGCAACCAAAGATAATTCAAACAAAAACCAAAAAACAAAACAATGGGGAGGGTAAAAAATCGCAAGAAAGGAAAAATGGAATAAAAACAAAACAAAAAAAAAGGAAAAGAAATAAAAACACAAATAAAGTAAAACTAAAGACTTCGAAAGGGTTTTAGAAATTCAAAACTTAACTGTACGTCGATGCAAGAAATTGTCTAATTTGTCAAAGCGAACTTGTCCAATTTGTAAAAAGCGACGCGCCGAACACCAACAGGCCGAGCAGCTTAGTATTTATCGATCCACCCACGAGGATAGAATATGGCACAAGGCCGGTTTAATGTGGGTATCCCCGAGCCCGCGGACACGGCCAAAAATATAGCCTTTTTAAACCCGCCTAGACGGATTCAGGCCCTGTCTACCTCCCCGGACAAAACCTTGCCCTTCGACAAAGCTTCGTCCGGGTTCCTCTCTGCTAATGCAGACGCCGACTCGGAAGCTCACAAAGCAGCCCGGATTTGGACGAAAAAAGCGGCTAAGAATATCTGGAGCGGTTTATTCAAGTACTCCCTGGCTAGAGGGAGTAGAAAACAGTAGATATTAAATTAATCTCAATGTTGTTCGATGTTTGAATAAGCATTGCATAATCCGATGCTCTCGAGGTACGGTTTGGCCTCAACCATATCTAGTCGTCCGGTTTCTCGCATGTTACTTGACTTAAATCTGCGAGATCATGGGTTGTGAAGGTCAAGGTCGTCTTTCTAAGGAGCGGTTAATGGCGACCGCGACAATATTGTATTTCTTTTCCGGGATGAGTCACTGGGCACTTTATCTCTATATATCTCTTCAATTCCATGCTTATCAAATCTTTACTTGACAACGTACGGTTTTAACGTTTACTAAAACTTTAGTGTGCACATTATCACTAGTTTGGATCAGAAAATATTTATATGCTCGCCGAAGAACCTGAGAAAAGTTGTTTCCAGTGACCTGTGAAGAGAGTACCGATTCAGACTTTATTACAATTCGAAAGCTTATCTTGAACATGTAACTTATAAGATTTGCATTATCTTTTAGAAAAATCTCTTATTTCAAGCTATGACAGAAATGTATTTTCTTAGTGAAATGTTAGGTTATATGTCAGCTGTTTATGGTGTCTACAAGGAATTGTTGGAGCAATATTTGCGTTCAAGAGAGCAGTATAAAATGGCAAAAAGTCAGAGCCGTATGACATACAGCTATATCTAAGAACAATTAGTACGCCAAGGTTACTTTTGGGCTATGATTGCCACTTTAATAAGCCCTTTCAACCAAACTGTTACAGTCGTAGGCGGTAGTACGCAATATACCAAAAAAATTGGCAATTTTATAACAGATAGTTTTGGAATTGTATATCTCTTTCTGCAGCGATAGACTAAAAGCAATCACAAAACGTCAGCAATGCTTTAGCACTGTTCTTAGATATCGATTGCAACGAGTAATGCGATCAATGCATATTAGTATATATCTATAGGGATTGATGTAGGGCTTATTTAGCCTTTGTGTTGGTGGTAATAGTTCTATTATATCAATGTACACGGCTTAAAATCTTGCCGATGGTATTTCTAATTTTTTTTTGTATTTTTGTTTGTTTGTACATCTTTAATAATTTAGTCTATACCTGGTCTAAATTATATATACTTTATCATCTTCCACATGATTTAATTTCAGGGTGTGATATTGAATGAATACTATCGAAAATGGATCTTTGCAACTTACACGGAACGAAATGACTGGGGTAAGGCATAGATATATTGCACAATACAAACGAGTTATTACCAGGAAAATAAATTATCTAAAATCCGAAAAATATTTAATTTCAGCGTCAAACGCTTGGACATTCTCAAACTCTAGCAAGTCACAAGCATCTATTTGAACGATAAAAGTTGACCTCGACAAACAATCAGCAATTATGTTCTGACTGTCGATTATATGAGCTATATCGGAATTATATTTCGTAAGGATAACCTTTTCTGTCGCCTATCCAAATTAGCGGTGTTTTAACTATAAGATGCGCCACATTGAGGTTTGACATGGTGAAAGTGTAGCACTGCCGAATAAGCTTCAACGTTCATGGTCGAAAGTGGAATAACTGGTTTATAAATGTGTTAGTTTCTTCGAGAAAACCAAACAGATGCATTGCATAATTACTTCAAGCGGTGACTTGTTGATAGGTTGTGCTTGCGCGAATTAAAATAATTCATTGAGTTGTTCTGTGGAAATACTGAAAGCTTATTCTTCTGATTCGTCAAGTACAGACAAACCCTTTTCGAGATAATCTTATCTTTTCAGATAAATGGGCGATTAATGTTCAATAAGATGCCACTATACCCAGAAATCTGCATAAGCTTTTAATAACTTCTGAGATAATATGAAAACCCAGGAAGTTTAATGAGGTTACTTCAAAAATCTATTTTTAAGCAGAAATTGTTGCTGATATGCGAAATTTTAAATGTAAAATTAATTTTCAGAAGCAGTTGGATATATTTTTCCTAACAATCTACAAAAATATTGTTTTGTTTTTGTTTTGTTTTTTTACTATTAAAAATATCTATCTATATCTAAGGTGTAGAGTGTTGCTCTCCTGGAGAGAGCAACACTCTAATATCAGCCATGCTGATGCCGGGCGGAAAAGGTTCTCTGTAGTGAATAAATAAAAGCAGTTTTGTTTTGGAGGGTCCTTTTCAAGAACAGCTTCCAGATTTACCTTGTCAGATCTGTCGGATTTGCTATTGAGACAGGAGTAAGTGGTATTGTCATCTACATAAATAGTTAGGAACTGATGACATCAGGGAGATCATTGCTGAAGTTCAAAAACAGCGTAGAGCCTTAGGGGACCCTGCGTTCATATGGAAACGTCTAGAAACAAGCCCGTTCAACACGACCTTCATTTCACGACCTTCATTTCACGATTTGCTAGGAACGATTAGATTAAACCAAATATTCGTCCTGTGACACCGTAGCCTTGGGGCTTGTGTAAAAAGCCAGCATGTCAAACACTATCAAACGCCTTAGAGTAATCTAGAGTCACGGCCCGAGCTTCGCCATTCTTATCTAGAGTTTGATATACAAATTCAGTGATGGCCATTAACCTGGCGGTAGACCAGGCGAAACGTAAGCCATATTGTTTGTCTGAAATGAGGTCGTGAGTAGTAAGATGGTTAGGTAAAATAATATTTTCCTAAAAATTTCATCGAGCTTTTGAAAACTCATCAAAGCAAATCGCTGATATAGTTTATTGTCTTACGTAAAATAGATTTTATATGAATATAAATATAACATGATAGCTTAAAAAATAATAGCTGAGGTATTTTACTCGTTAAATTTCAAGAAAAGAGTTGTTATCATCACAGGAGTTGTTTGGACAAGAAACCATTCTTTTCGTTTTCCTTACCGCTAGCAGAATTTTTAACCACCAGTGTTACACGCATTACTGTGAATGCGTTGGCATGATATTAGTATATAGAGCATATTTGCTTTTAAAACTTTTCTGTTTACTATGATCTTTTGATTTGGTACCACTAATACTTGCTGTTTCATCACTGACAGATACGTTTATATTGATCTTTGGAATGGCAAGCTGAAATAAATGCGGATCGATTATTTGTATCCAGACATCACTATTTCATTGATGTCTGTCAATTGGACAAGGAACTGCGTTATTTTTTAGTTTCTCACTATATATTTCGATTATAAGTCATGTACCATATCGTTTTATGTTTTTTCCTCCTCGTTTTTAGGGGAAAAGCAAATAAATACACGTACTCGATAATTTGAATAACTTTACAAAAAAGATAATCGGCGAATATTTAAACCATAAGTTAACTCTATTTATTTTAATATAAATATTTGCTAAATATTTAACATTTAACTGATCTTTAGAACTTTCTGACGCAAATGACTCCATGAGAAATGTTATAAAAATTGCTGATGTGATAAAATATAATTTATACTAACTTACACTGTCTAAAAGATTCTACATGAATTATCAAAAGGATTTGATGGTAAAAAATAGAAATACTTTAATATTTGCGACTGCTTTAGTAGATTGATAAAATTATCTGAGTTTATAAAATTTATACAAGTTTACAATGACTTGCATGACACAAAACAAATGTAAAGCACGAAATTCAATCCGTCATAACTCTAAAGAAGTTCATTTTAATTTTTAAAATAATTTTTAATAAGAATTAATCATTCGGTTTTGAAAGTTATGTATATATGATGACACGTTTCTGCAGAAGACCAGTGAATATAAACAAAACAAAACTGTACAAAATCAAATAAATAAATCAAAACTTACAGATGCCATTTATAGCCATGGAACTTCTGTTCAAGCATTTGCTTCATGACATCAAAAAGGAAGACGTCTCTGCTTTGAAGGTTATTTCTGGAAATTTGTTTAAGTGTATTCAGAAACTCACTAATTTTATCCTGAAATTAAAGAAACTTCAACACATTATTACTTAATTATTGATGTGATTAATTTGGATTACATTACGTTTTTTTTTTCTTCACAAATTTAGTCTGTTTAATCTAAGGCCTTTTTTGGTCTAATGTTGCCGAATCTTATTCTGAGAAATGTGTATTCCCTCTCATACGCGTCATGTTCTGTGTATTCAAAAAATAAACTGTAATCCGTTGAGATACTTTAAAATAAGATATGCCTGAGCATGGATAGATATTGATAGGGGAACACACCAACCTTTATGAAATTATATAAAAATAACAGGGTGAATCATTGGCGAATACGAAAGTTGAAAGACTCTGCTCAGATTGATCATAGTGATCATTAATTGTTATGAATATCAATTGACAAGAACATATAATGAATTGGGGATTATTTAGGTATAGTGCGAGAGATAGAAGTGTGTGAAACCTTCAGCAGAAGAATATGAATTTAGCCCAAAGTTCAAAAGGAGATAATATCCAATAGCATATAGACGCAAGCTCAAAGTTGAACAAAATTCAGACAAGGGCTCTGATTTAATTATGTAACTAATCAACCTGTGTAGGCGATGCATTTCTGAAATGTTTTTAGTCATGAATCTACCTCAAATGTAAATGAGCATTTGTGAACACAGTAGAAGGAATGAACACGACTGCTGAGCAAATACGCTGGGATGATGAAAAGTTCATCGATTCGATCCCTCCCCAAATTAATATTTCAATGACCAAACATTAGAATGTTGATTTTGGGAAGGGGGTCGTACCGAAAACTTTTTACCACCTCCTCGTACATATAAGAATGTCATTCTTGTCTAAGCAACAATTTTACCCTTTTTGGGAATCATAAATAATCGATTTTCTGATTCAAAATGTTGCACCTATAGCATCCTGTGCAAATATGAAAAAGACGATGAGGAAGAAATCAGCCAGTATCTGAAAGTCAGATTTTGGTAAAATAGAAAAGCGATATCCAAAGATTAAGTAGAAAAGTCTAATATGACAGCGCATATCTGAAGAGAGAAGAGATCACACTATTCTCCTTGTGATAAGGTTCCAGTAACAGATAAAGATTATCATGTAGGATGAAAATATAAAGAAACTGCAGAAATTAGCCTGAAAGACAATTGGATTTCAGTGGGAACATTGATTGAATAATGGAAAGCAACATCTCATATAAATTGCATGAACTCGCTTATATGGTATGCGTTTCTTATGAATGGGTTGGTGTGACTTGTACAACGATCACTGTGTTGCATTTTTTGTTTAGTACGGCTTTCTCATTTTCAGTTGCAACAAAAATTAAGCCGGTCTCTGTCTTCGGACGAAACAAACCAAAATTAGGCTGCAGTTCTGGTCATTGAGAAACCGTCTCCTCGACAAAACAGTTTAATTACAGTAATTTAACTCACTCATGTTACAAAGACAATCATTACGTCTGTGTTAATGTCCAAGGGAAACGTTTTTACATAACATATAATTTTGAGTCGTGTGCCGTAATCAGATGAGTTTACAGATTCCCCTACACAAAAAACTGCCATCTCTGGAATTTTGTTTTTGCGGAGTATCAAATAAATACTCTAGTTTCCCCTATCATTAGGGAATCTTTTTCTTTTCATACTGATTGTATAGCTGAAGAAAGTTATAGAATTGATCATTCCACTCACGAAAAAAAAGAGCACCCCGTCTTTCTATACGAAGAATGGATCAGACAAAACAAAAGAAATTCAGTCATCCGAATAGAAATAAAATGAAAATGACTTTCTTTAAAATTACAGATTATATCATTAATGTTCATAATATTTTATATAAATCTATATAATGATGTGATAATACTAGATATACGGTTGTATAATATTTCCAAATATAATTAAAAAGTGATGCGTTCAATACACATAACTTTATATTTGGCATTATTATATTTTGATGTGTGTTAAGTTGAACCATCGTTCCAATCACGTCTTACAGGAAAGGGCATAAAGTTGATTTAAAACTTAAAAACTGTTTCTTCTGGTACATTAATCACAAAACAATCAATAGAATGCGTCAGAGAATTATGGGTCAGTTATTTGTAAGACTTTTATGACAGGAGCATAGAGAATTGAATGGTCACACACATATACAGACAAGTGACCACTGAAAAGATTGTCCGGTTTGTTTCAAGTACGACATGTGTTCCTTTATATAAAGTGTCGCAGAAGTAATGAACTACTTTTATGACCGGGAACGTAAAAATTGGAAAACGTTTTCATTCTCAATGTAACATTAATTTTTGTTTTACCAAATCTTCGGCGACAATCTCATATAACACTCACATGACATCTTTGCATTTACCACTGTGTTAATGTCCAATCGCTTCAAGAACATAATATACATCATATATGTTGCAGATGTTACGGAAATGTCTCCTATAAACTCCTATTACAGTTTTGAAAACAATCGATATTAGAGAAATGTAATTTGATTAATTAGATTGGTTTCTTGAGTGATAGAAACTGAATAAAAAGGGCAAATTATTGGCTTATTTTTAAAGCAAATGAAATGTTACTGCTCAATTAAAGAACATGTTTCATAAATTTATAAATATATACACACGTGGACAAATAATTACAAAAAAACTTGAAAATATCCAATACATTTCATTTACATAAAAATCAATGATACCTAAAAATATAAACTAAATATTTCTGTCTGTTATATATTTTATCCTCGATAGATTTCGCATGAACTCATATACATAGCAATAAAGTAATGATTCCTTACCTTCTCTTCTTTGTAACCTTTCAGGCTGTATGAGTTCAGTTTATAATTATGTCTGAGGTGTTCGAAATGGTAAGGATATTTTGCCATTTTCCATTTGGTAAATTCATTCTGTAAATTTTCAAATTCGTGGGAAGAATCGGCTTTGGAAATTAAAAACAAATTTTACATCATATTAATCAGTTAATATCGTTGTATGTGTACAGAGAACACTCATAAAGTAGCGTATCCTATTTATTTACACGGAAACTACAGCAAATGCAAGGAGCACAATATCACCATTGAAAAGATCAAGGATACCACCTGCATTTCTCCTCAACGTCGTGGTTGAACATAACAAAATAGAAGACATTTCATTCGGTACTACTCTGTTATGTCTTTGAAGATTTCTTTGACAACCGTAAAACAAGAATCAAATGACAATAATTTACTATATCTTTAGTAAACATAATGAACTATACTGCAAATTACATAAAAGAGGGTTACATGAATGAAACTATATAGTGGCGTGGGGCTTAGGAGTTAAAATGAACAGTTGGTTTACCCACGCTAAGAAGGATGATAATGACGAGAAAAAACACGGGAATTTTTAACAAAACTAGATAAAGAATTTATTTACAAATTTACACACTACAAGTTGTATCAGTAGCTCCTTTTAGGAAAATAAATCAGAATACTTAGAGTTCGTAGTTTTAACGAATTTTAATGAATAAGAATTATTCATACAACAGATTAAATGATCTGACACAAAATAATATTCGAAAAAGTTTAAAACAAAGTCAAGAGAGTTCGTTGTTCACCAAAGGGATATATGGTTTGCATACTTTCAAAAGTAGACGAAGAGAGATAGCTTGAAATATTTAGCTTTCTTGGTTTGTTGAGAGAAATTTCTTCGAAATGCCGCGTGCTTGGGTAGAAGCCGATAATATAACTGGTGAATAATCTTACTCTGGCAAGAACATCAAGGCTGGTTACTAGTCACGAAGAACTGTAAATGAAACCTTTCTCATGACTTCAGACACTCTTCTCTGATTGATTTAAGTTTTCTTCTCATTTTATATCAAAAGGAATTTCGCATAGCTCGCTGCTTTCTTTTCTTTCTTCTTCTTGGCTAAATGGCTAATTTCTGTGAAGACAAGGTTTTCATTGGCCCCAAAACAATTTCACATGGGCTCGCAAATTTATTTCCTCCTTCTTTTCAGCTCACCGGTCAATCTCTGTGAAGGCAAAGTTTTCATCGGTCCAAAGAAAATTTAACATAGGCTCAAGAAATCCTTTCCGTCTTATTCCTCTATTCTACGAATTTGAAGGGAGCGGGTAAAGGAAGTTATTGTTATTTCGTACTCACTACAACTATTTAAGAACCATTCTATTCTTCAACACATCTATAATTTAGATAACTAGTTAGAATAAAGAAAATTTCATTTTCACTGTTGCTAAAAGCTGATATTCTCTCAACGGAGGAGAACTAATAGTGTTGCTTGTTTTTACTTTTTTCTGGAATATCAATGCCAGTAACAAGGACAACAAATGTAGATTAGAAACATGTAAAAACTTCGCTAGAAAAGGAAAAGAGTACTAAACTGCTACGTGATATCTGTTCTCCTGTATGGCAGTGAGTGCTGCACAATCTCCTCAAAGATGAAGAAGAGACGTGAAGCACCAGAAATGTGTTTCTACAGAAGGATGCTGAGGATACCACGGACCGAACATGTGAGCAACGACGAAGTTTAAGAGAAAATGGAAACAAAAAGGAAACTTATGCTGCACATCAAGAAGAGACAGTTGATAATGAGGAAAGAAAGCTTGGAAAATCTGATACTCACAAGACAGATTGAAGACAGAAGAAAACAACGAATAACATACAAGTAAATGGATGGTGGAACAGTGTTTATTAGAAATAACAGAAAAACAAAATTTATTATCCTATAAGTTGTGGAGAGCCGTGATCTCCTACGTCCTGAGAAGACACGGTACATCAAGAAGAAGAATTAAAATTTGAAAAATATTTAAAAGTATTTAGTAGGTTGATATAAAGGAATTAATGTCTATATTTATATTATCTTACCTGATGTTGGCGTAGGTAGTCGTAAAAAGGCAATTAAAACCCATATGGCCCTGCAAAATTAAAGATTATTAAGATATTTAGAAGAAATAAGTATACAAATAAACAGTTTAAGATGAGTTCATCTTCAAAGGGCTTAACCGGGACTCGCTTCGTTCAAATATATTCATTTTCCAGTGCCGTCAAGTTGTGTGAACCGTTCTACACGACTGCATATATGGTACATGTATAATTAAATTTGAAATTTCTTCTTCTTCTTCTTCTTCTTCTTCTTCTTCTTCTTCTTCTTCTTCACGGCACATAAAAGAAGAAAAAGACATTTACAATTCAAATATACATGTACCGTGTGAGTAACGTCGTGACGTCAGATTTGATTACATTGGAAAATGAATGTATCTTATTTTATACCTATTATTATTTTACATGCATATTAAATATTTTATACAGTTTAAAATGCCGTCTTTTCGGTGAAATATATTAATGTGTATAGTTTCTATTGTATGATTTTGTATGATTTATAGCTTCAAGTATTTTGTGTCTTTTCTTTTCTTGTAATATATGCTATTGCTTTATTTTGTTATTATCTACTAATATTTATCTTATAGTGATAGTTTTATTTTGGTTGTTTGTGATGTGATGATTGAGATGTGCATGAATTGTACGAAGTAATCACAAGTGACAAATCAATCAATGAGAGAGTGTGTTAAATGTAAGTATTTAAGGGGTTTATCATTGATATTAATGGAATCCTCCATATTTGCTACTCACCCCTGCGGAAAAATGCACTCTTCCCCCAAATCAATTTTAACCAATCATCACTTCACTTTTTCAAACTTGACTTCTCATTGGTTAAAAGGACCCAAAAAATGTAGCAAGTTGCAACAAATCTGTTAAAAGGACCCAAAAAATGTATCAAGTTGCGACAAATCTGTTTTCCCGCTCACCTATCTGGAGCCGGTTTGAAACCCAAAAAATCAATAAATAGGATCGCGTCACTTGATTCAGGCAATCAGGAACTGAGCCTTTGAAAGATGCCAACAAACTCCACACGCGCCAGCACACTGACTCAACAACCGCCACTCTCTCTCAGCAACTCAACACAACCCAAAAAGTCTTGCCGCGCGAATTGACCCAACTTATAATTTACTAGAAAAAGTGACATTATCACTACCGAAGTTGATTAAATATACAATTACTTGTATATTTAATCAACTTACATCATATCAGTCAAAGGTACATAACTCCTCATGACTTTAAACAATATTTACAATTGTCGCACACATACACACTAATATTTGAACCCATACAAGTGCCATTTCACCTTGCAGAAAGAAAACTGTTAACTACAAGCTTTCATACACCAAATCACTGCATGGTCACAATTTTATCTCACTTATCACATTGAACAAGCAATCTTAAATTCACTTTGTGTATATCAAACGTATATAAATGCATGTTATTTGTTGAAATCTATAACTACGTTGTTTCTCTTTGATTTCTTCCAATTGAATTGCCTCCAAATGTTTGTTTATTTTATTTGTTGTGGATGAATGTTTAATGAACATGCACATTTTTAAGCCTTCACACAATTTCACCTGCTGACACATCCAAATTAGCTCAAATTCCGCAATAATATAATCTCCTAAATTTACGTAAGATGAATTTTTGAACCCCCATGTGTTATTGGTAATAATTAGGTATTTATTGGAATCATTAAATGATATGTATAGGCGAATTATACTTTAATATCTTTTTCATCTTGTCTATAGTGCTTCTGGTTACGGTAAAATAAATTAATCGTGTTTTTATTTTTGTTTACATTAGGATATTTGCATGTTATTTTTTATGAAATTCTTTGAATCTAATTTTATTCGCTCGTCGACGACGTAGTTTGGGGGAATTATTGTGGTATCCACAATAATTTCACGTATCGTGTTGCTCAATTCTTTCTAAAATAATGTATCCGAAGAAGAAATTATTTTTGCTTCATTGCGATCTAGGACATTCACTTTTTTTGTAACTGAAAGACAAGATCTTGGCTTGTGGGATTTAAATACAATGGAGAAGTAAAATTATGACTGTTAACTTCTACTAAAAAGCAAAGGAAGGGATTCTATTATTAATGTTAACGTCACAAGTAAATTGTTGAACGGTGTTTTTTCTCGAAGGTTTCTTCAAGATTTTTTTTATTTATTTATTTTTATTTAGATTTTTCTTTACTCTGAATATGTCATCGTTATATAAAACTTATATCACAGGCTTGACTTTTAAATTCTTAAAGATTTTGTTTTGTACGTGTATCAAGTGAGGCCGATAGACGAACCCATAGCTACACTGTCAGACTGTGTGTTAATGTTAATATAATGATCATAAAATTTATGTCTGTCGTGAAAAATTCAATTTTTTTTAGAATTGATAGTCTCTAATATTAGGAGGTGGGAGCAAAGAACGTTTATATATGTTTAGTATTACTATGTCTAAAGTTTCTTTGGTAAAAAGAAACTTTCAATACTGATTTTCTAAGCGCAGCTTAGATGTGGCAAGAAACTTTCAATATTTAATGGTGCTAAGGTGTCGCTATTGGGTTTATTAGAGGGCAACACTTCAAGATATTCGTTGGGAATGTATGACAGAATCAGTTACTTAAAAGTTTGGATAAGTAATATACGGATTTACGGAGAAATGATTGTTGTAGCATACCTACGGACGATAATGGGTATGTCCCCATTCCCATAAATACAGTCGTGGAATTCACTTGACTTACTTCTAGCAGTTGATTACTTCTACGCGCGAATCTTGTGTGATGTTCTTGTCCTAAGTATTATCGTTCATTACCAACCTTCGTTTGATTATTCTATTCAGTAACCTTCCCTAGGTTACAACAGTGATATATGGGATTTATGATATTATGGGACGTCGAAGCGAGTTAGGTAATACTCAGACATAATTTTGTAGATTTTAATGTTTCTTACTTCAACATTATGAGCTGTGATGAGTTTATTTATCAATCTTGATGAGACTGGCGTTGTTATTGTATATATTTTTAATGTAGATTTTTGTGGAGAATATAGTCTAGTTTTACTCGTTATTAACTCTAAACATAATACGGACAACATCCAATTCTTGATAATTACCCAGACGGTCGAAAATACTCGAAAAAAAAAAACAGAACAGAAATATGGACAGTTTATCCACAATATATATATATATATATATATATATATATATATATATATATATATATATATATATATATATATATATTAATTAATGTATATTTGGACAGAAACCTTTCTTTTAAAAATGTTTTGTTGAATATAACAGACAAGGAAAATTTGATGAATTTTTATTTAGGTTTTCAACATTCGTACATTTTTTTCGTTTGTAAAAATGTTAGCATCTTGAAAAACTAAATAAAAAAAATAATTAAATTTTCATTGTCTGTCATATTCAACGACATATATATATATATATATATATATATATATATATATATATATATATATATATATATATATATATATATTGATATTTATTTTATTAATGTATATTTGGACAGAAACCTTTCTTTTAAAATGTTTTGTTGAATATAACAGACAAGGAAAATTTGATGAATTTTTATTTAGGTTTTTCAACATTCGTACATTTTTTCGTTTGTAAAAATGTTAGCATCTTGAAAAACTAAATAAAAAAAATAATTAAATTTTCATTGTCTGTCATATTCAACGAGATATATATATATATATATATATATATATATATATATATGTGTGTGTGTGTGTGTGTGTGTGTGTGTGTGTGTGTGTGTGTGTGTGAAAAGTGTATATAAATATAAACAAATATATATATGTATAATTATTTATATATTATATGCGCGGTACTTATCAGAGATAGAGCTAACATATTTGGTTGGATAGATGTGAGTTTGTGACCCTGGGTTTCACGCTTTAGCGATCGTCAGACAAACTGATTAATGTTTTAAAAAATTTGGGTTTATGTAGATTGCGTGTATTGGTGTTATTGTGGAAGTGGTGGGGGAAATTTCGTCGTTTTGTCATTCATCGTACTAACGCAAACATCGATGTATGCAGACACATACACATACTTGGTCGTCCGTCGGGACTCATACATATATAAACATATGTGGGCAGTTTCGGCTATGACACATGTATGTATACGGCTGGTGTTATATCTATACATACGCATTTGTATGTTGAAATGTTGAAATCTAAACATTGGAAGTGTGGCGGAAATGTCTCGTTGATGTGTACATGTCATATGTATTTTCCAGCTGGAAAATATTTCCTCGCATGTATGTATATGCGTGTGGTGGGGTTTGTGTAAAATTATGATAGGTAAAGATTATTATTATTTATATTTATTTTTAAATTTTTGAAAAAAAAATGGGGCTTTATTTGTTATATTTAAAGCTGGTTATTTGTTTGTTTTTGGTGACTGTGTATATGTAACAGGTAGAAATTTGTAATCCTTATTGGTTAATTTATATGGTGATGTTTAGTTTAATATTCAATGTGCTGGGTGAGAGGGTAGTTCAATTTAATAACGGGTTATTGTGTTCATGTTTGTTTTTTTGTATAGTTGTGTAATTTTGTTGGTTAAGAGTTGATTGTAGGCTGTAGGTTCTATAGTATATATGTTTGTGGTTTTGTCAGCCAAAATGAATACCTTGTTGGAGTTGATTATTTTTTTCCTCTCGTCTATGATTTTTTTTCTGAAATTGTCCAAGTGTTTTTTTGAATTTCAAGGTTCTAACTATATTTATCATGTCCTCTTCGAATTTTAACATTTACTTGCATATTGGTGGACACTTTTTTGTATTAAAGTTGAATGTCTCGGGTTTTTTCAGTTGTTTGGTTTTTGGGGTCGTTGAGGGAGAAATACGCCTTCCATCTCATTCGTCTTATTAGACTTTCGATTTTCTCTGTTAGTTGGAGTTTGTATGAAGCTTGGGTAGGTATGGGGATGTTTTTCAGTGAGTATCGTAGGTCAAATTTATCCATTTTCGTTAAAAGAATAGCGCGAGTGCTAAAAGCACCATACAACGAAGCACTAAAATCAAGTGGTTACACACAACAACTACAATATATACCTCCACAGCCAAAACGCAGAAACAGAAAGAGAAGCATTATCTGGTTTAATCCACCATATAACAAAACTGTTAAAACGAACATAGGCAAAATATTCCTAAACTTAATAGAAAAACACTTCACTGAAGAAAACAAATTATCAAAAATATTTAACAAAAATAACGTAAAGATCAGCTACAGCTGTACAAAAAACATAACAGAAATAATTAAAAGCCACAACAAAAAAATGACAACCTACAAAAATGTAACCAAGGATCCAATATGCAACTGCAGAAACAGAACAACATGTCCACTCCAGGGAAATTGCCAACTTACGAACACTATATACATGGCCAAGGTAAGTACAAACAACAACACTATACACTACATCGGTGCCACCGAAGGCCCATTCAAAATGAGGAATAACAATCACAACCTTTCATTCAACAGGAAATATTCGAACAGCACAACACTTTCTACATACATATGGCAGCAAAAAGACAAAAACATCACACCAACAATAAGTTGGGAAATATTGAAAAAAGCCCCTGCCTACAACAACATTACGAAAAAATGCCTACTTTGCCTACACGAAAAAGTAGCAATAATATCACACAAACCGCAAAAGAACTTACTAAACAAAAAATCAGAGATAATCTCTAAATGTAGGCATGAGAACAAGTACCTATTATCCGAATTCATACCAAACGGATAAAACAGACAAACCACCAACAATCACAATTTAATTTCAAGATACCATCAAAATAATTGCATCTATCATTATTATAATTGCACCACCATTAGTAATCACTTTTACTACAATACCTTTTAACTAACAATATTATCATTACCACCAACGCACAGCACCATCACTTACACATCACACCCACTATTAACATATAAATCCACTACAATCTTTATTACTCCCCCAGTATATTTAATACCTTAATACAATATGATCAGATATAATTTCCATATGTAACCATGAGAATAAACACCTATTACCAGGCAGCTTTAATATAATAACAATAATAATTTTGTAATTAAAATTAAAATTATAGCAATCTCCAACTACCATAATTTTACACAGAATACCTATTATCAGGATTTATACCAAAATAAATTAATACATATAACAAAATAAAACAAAAAATAAAATAAAACACCAACAACCACTTTTTTAGTTCAAGCTACCACCACTATAACTACATTCATGATTTTATCATTCTCCCACCACCGTTACTAATCATTTCTACCAATTTACAATTTCTACCAATTTACAATAACTATTAGCTAACTATCATTGTCTCCAATCCCTTGAAACATTACTATCACATCATACCATATAAACCCGTTATTAAATTGAACTACCCTCTCACCCAGCACATTGAATATTAAACTAAACATCACCATATAAATTAACCAATAAGGATTACAAATTTCTACCTGTTACATATACACAGTCACCAAAAACAAACAAATAACCAGCTTTAAATATAACAAATAAAGCCCCATTTTTTTTTTCAAAAATTTAAAAATAAATATAAATAATAATAATCTTTACCTATCATAATTTTACACAAACCCCACCACACGCATATACATACATGCGAGGAAATATTTTCCAGCTGGAAAATACATATGACATGTACACATCAACGAGACATTTCCGCCACACTTCCAATGTTTAGATTTCAACATTTCAACATACAAATGCGTATGTATAGATATAACACCAGCCGTATACATACATGTGTCATAGCCGAAACTGCCCACATATGTTTATATATGTATGAGTCCCGACGGACGACCAAGTATGTGTATGTGTCTGCATACATCGATGTTTGCGTTAGTACGATGAATGACAAAACGACGAAATTTCCCCCACCACTTCCACAATAACACCAATACACGCAATCTATCTAAACCCAAATTTTTTAAAACATTAATCAGTTTGTCTGACGATCGCTAAAGCGTGAAACCCAGGGTCACAAACTCACATATATATATATATGTTTTAGGATTATGACTTTTGTTTGACTTTCTGTAAAATATTTTCTGTCGCGGCTCGAATTGGTGGTGGGAGTCAGTTACTAAGATAAGACAGCGCGTCGTTTGAATTTCCTTACATGAATTCATTGAACTCGATCGGAATTCGACATTCCGATTCCTCAATCCAAGTCGCTATCCATTACTATGTAAATATTAGATGTCCTCCACTTTTATTTCATGTAAATACAGGTAATAAAATTCACAAGTTTTTCCTTTTTTGTTCAGACAGACAGACAGACAGACAGACACACACACACACACACACACACACATATATATATATATATATATATATATATATATATATATATATATATTTATTGTTCATGATAAAGTATGCACATTATTTCAGAGATTTCCATACCTGTTCGCAAGGAAATATCAAGACTAAGTAAAAGAAGTTTTGCTGCTTCCAAAAACTGTTTTATCTTTGCTTGCAATGAACGAACAAATTTTCAAATATCGTTAAAAGATTTATAATATACATAATTCATTTTTTTACTATTATTTTAATTCTACCTAATTTGTTTTTACTTTAATTCTTTGTTTATTTTAATATAAATATGTAAATTCCAAAATTATTTTTCATGACCGGAAGAAGTTGTCCATACACACTCCAAAAGTATCTATGGATTTCAGGCTGCGAATGACACCATCATTTTCAGTCTATAATATAATCTGTTTATTAGAAGTATATACAATAATTTATTTGGTGGTGTGAGATTTTTATTATTTTATTATTGCTGTTAATCATAATCATATTTAAATAAACAGATTTAACAGTATTGTTATTGACATTAATTTTTAATTTCGGATATATTGATATTTCCAAAGTTCGTAAGCTCAAAAGAGAATTTGTGAAGTTATTGGGTGAGAGGAATACAACTATGGAATTTTCGAAATCGTTGAAAAAAGGTCATAGAACAATCCAAAAGATATAAACAAGAAAAATAAACTTACTTTAAGAAGGACACAAAAAGAAATTTTAGAAAAATAAAAAGAGTAATGAGCATGAAAATTGATTGAATAGCAAAAATATATATTTGAAGAAGATGGTATTAAACAAAATATTAAGGGCATTGGCTAATGACTTAAAAGAAAACAGTCAAACGGTTCGGACGAAGTACATGAAAGCTGATTTTGCAACAATAAATTTAATGATGAATATACAGCTACACTGAATGAACTTTATGGCTAGACGAATGGAGTCCTTCCAAGAGGGTGGGGTGCAATGGTGTAATGTTTGGGGTAATTATTACAGTCCCTTCAGTGGCGTCAACGTAAATGTTACGAATTATTCTAAGCTTTTGTGCAAGATGTTTTTTAAGTGGTATAGGGTCACAATCAAGAAGTTTTAAATTTAAAAGTTTATTGATGCAATCATTCATATTCTGCAAAGCTGACTGGGGGATTACTCCATTAATATGGAATGATTCCCAGATTTTAATCCAATAGAAAACTTGTGTTTCATCGTTAACATAGAGATGTATATGAAAATATGAAAACAATATTCAATCAAAGATGATTTTGGAACACAATAAAGAATGCTGCAAGTAATATTAAACTAGTAAAGTTTTAAAAATCAATAATATAATGTTGGGAACCCATATTAATATGTAACATAATAAAATAACACTGTATTCAGTTATATGGGAGTTCAGGGTAATCAAATATCTGTTTCTTTAGCCTATATATTCTGGATATATTTATAAATGTAAACATATGTTAATCTTAATTTTATTGTATAATAAAACCTAAAACACCAAAAGAAAATATTTTAAATAGTTTTAATAAGTCCGAAGCAATAGAAATATAATTATATCTTGAATGTTTTCCCAACACTTGTTGGTTAATGCCAATTTTATTGTGAAAACATTCATCTGCTTAATAAAGATGCATATATTTTAAATTATCGGAAAGTTATGTTTATACTTGTGATCAAACATAAACCAAACTGTAAGGAATTTCGTTAGAACATACTGTATAAAGTTCTTCAAAGTCAAACGTTATATCCAACGAGTCTATTCCAAAATGGAAATTAGGGTTCTGTTAAAAGAATAAATCCAATTAAGAACAGGAAGGAGAAAATGCTAGCAACAAATATTTCTTGTATGTAAGAAAATAAGACGAGAAAATTGTAACTTACTGAATTTTAATTGTCTCGTGACGTCCTTGAAGTGACCTCGACATCGTTTCATATGTTTGGCGGTTTGGGGTTTCTACTGAAAAATAAAAGAAGCACATTTACAATAAAAAGCTCACTAGTATTTTTATTTTTCTCGCTTTCATTTCTCTATCTTCTTTTTTTTCTTCTTGTTTGTTTCTCGCTTTATACGTTGAATAGACGCACCTTCATATCATTGACCTAACTTCTCTCTTCCTTTCTCCGGTTCGTTTGCATATTTTGCTAAATTTAGCATTTTCCCTTTTCATTTTCAATAACTCTCTTTTCTTATCAGTTTTTTCACCTTGAGGAGCGGAGTGATTAATATTCAGCTTATTCCGCGTTTTCGAAGAGTAAAGATGAAAATACTTTTTCAGAAAAGAAATAACATGAATATTAAAGAGAAGAGAAGTGAATTCAGGCATTTTAATGATATAACGCACTGAAATAAATAAGCCTAGTTTCAGTATAATACTTCTTAAATAAATATATTTGTTAAAAAGAATAAAACATAAAACGTGTGTTTTGTGAACTTCCAGAAAAATAAAAGTTCTACAGTCCTGGTTGTGAAAGATTTTATAGAAGAAATATAATGTTAAGACGGCGATACAGCAAATAAACTACGGCTAATCGTGAATTATATTGAGAATTTTACAACTTACAATGCTGGTCGAACAGTAGCAGTAAAAGGGAATATGTGATGTGTCCAGTTCAAAAAATCTTTACTCGATTAATTTTATTGACTTGTATTTTTATGATGTGATGAACTTAGTTTGGCCACGAAAACTAAGAATTTGGGGTGTGTTAGGTATGGTAAAAAAAAACCAAAAAAAAACCCTGTGTTATTATAAATTTGTATGCTTAAGTCTACGCGTGACCTCAGGTCATGTAAATGCGGTTTAGTGGAAGATTCGGAAAAGATGAAAAGATATTAGCTAAGTTTGAATTTATAAAAAGTGTGGAGATAAGGCGTAGGTGTTTTTTTTTTTTTTGTCTAGCTTCTTTTTTAAAATTTATAAAATTGGAGGCATGATAAATTTTGTTCTTTATTATTTATTTGTTAAACATTTTATTTTCTTTATTTCTTCTTTGTTTCCTTACTTTTTTCTTCATTTTTTAATTACTAATCCTGATCATTGTTTTTCTTTAGTTTCCCTTTTATTTATCACACACACACACACATGCACACACACATACATACACAACCATATATTTATTTATTTATTTTAGGATATTACACAGAAAACGTCAAAATCGCAACACAATTGCAGTCGTGGTTTGAAGCGTATCAATGCATCTCGTCAGGCGATTGTACATTACTTGCGAGTGGACGATTTATTTATATTTAGAAACAAAATACGACCTCTTTTTACGAAAAGAGAAAAAAGGGGAGTTATAAGGTTTGTGGGCTTTACTCTGATCAACCAATCAAATATGGCCTACGTTAAATTTAAACTATGCGAAGAAGCAAAAATTCAAAATTATTTTTTATAAATGGGTGATTGGTAGCTTACGGCAACCAGACATAAACTATAGCGGATGCAAATGGTTGCATAAATTATACAAACTAGACAATGCCGTTTCCTAAGAAATAAAAATGGGGTGGAGAGGTAATTTAACAAAATACTAAACAAGTTATATGCCTTGTGAATTTCCTACATTAATTTTTTTATAGTTGATAAATAAATATCTTCTTTAAGAAACTAGTAAATAATTTAAACGTATAGAGTTATTTGGTAAATTAATATGCAACGGTTGAATAAAGATTCTTCATATAAGATGTTAATAACACTAACCAATCAATGTAAAATGCCAACCAAATACCAATACATTCGTACATAATGTTACTAATACTACCAAGAGATTAATACAAAATTATATTAAATCCAAATTAATCTTACAAATAGAAAGATAAGCCATATATGGTTGAACGCAGTACAACTAAAATATAAGAAAAAGCATAATCAAATTCCAAATTTTTATCTAAATTGTAAGGTAAAAGGTAAACTATGTTTCATTTCTTTGATTTAATGAGAAATGTTTATTGAATCTGATAATTTCAAATTTTTCACGTAAGCGTAGAAAACAGGGTTCATATAAAGATCTACATGTCCTTGCTGTTTTTAAAATTTTCCATTTCACCATAGGAGTCTTTTTTATCATTTTTTAAACTCCAAAATATGAAAGTGATGTATTATCTCTGTAAGTACTAATGATGAAGGGCAAGATATGTTGATACCACCTAGTCTTGAAAGAATTCTTAGTACTACCAATATAGAATTTTTCAACCGTAGCGATACTATAAAGATAAACAAGAGATTTAGTTAAACATTTATTTGACAATGGGCATCAGAATTCCTATAATTACATTGGCCAGTATCTTTAATAATAATTATCTTGGAACGTGTATTATGATCCAGAATTTAAATAAATTGTTCACTCGCCAATAATTTACAATCACCTTGTGAGATGCATTGATATACATCGAAACTCGACTGCAATTGTGCGATTTTGACATGTTTTTTGTAATATCCTAAAATAAATAATATTGTTCTACTTTGTATTGAGCCCTCTTTTAAATTAAATGTTAGGAATGTTGGAATTGTACTCTATTCGTTCTCATCTTACATATATATATATATATATATATATATATATAATGGACTCTCCCGTCGTTTTCGACGTATGAGAATCTGACAGCTTACTTGATTCAGTTATGAAAATTTGTGCGATAATCTTAAGTGGCATTTAAGACCCGCTAGTGATTTACAAAGGAGGCCACATATGGAGCAAGTGTGAGGATTGTGAGATGAGATCACTGTTAGTTTGGATGACCTTTTAGATCTTGCTCTCGCTACTTGAAGATGATTCAGACAAGCAGATTGAAAAAGGCTAAGCGCTCAAGGGTGTTATATGGTATATTGACTGCTGACAAGTTGCTTTTCAGTTTGTCTTTGTATCTTAGCCATGGGCGTCCTACATTTCTGTAGCCCTGATCTAACTGGCTGTACATTAGGATCTTGGGTATCCTGTCATCAGACATTCTCAAGACATGACCAGTCCACCGTAACTGAGACTGTATGATAAAAGTCTTGATTCCTCCAATATTACACCTTTTAAACAGGTCTACGTTAGATGTCCTTATCTATCAGATTGAACACAGACAGCTTTTATGGAAAACATCTAGCTGGCGTATATGGTACCTGTATGGAGTCCACGGCTCTGAGCCAGACAAAAGGATGGCAAGTACAACAGCTCTGTAAACGCGAATTTTCGTATCCAGTCGAATATATATATATTCTAATCTAAAAACTCGTTATTCTGCATTAATGTCTTATTTCTATACTATTATGTAAACTACCCGTATTACTGCTAACGGGGTACTAATATCACATCATGCCGATAAGTAGCAACCCCCAAAAAGGCGAGTATTACTAACACGTCTTACTCGTCACTGTGTAAAGAGATGGTATAGGAGGAAACCTGGTCTTTTTAGAAGCGTGCCAAAGCTTAGAGGCGAGGAAGAAGACAACCATAATGAAAATATTTGTGTTAGTGCAAAACCCAACACCATGGAAAATATAAAACAGAGTTATGGCTACCGACATTGTTGTATGATTTGAGAAGTGATATCATCTTATGACCCAACTGAAAAAAAGTGTTTTCAAAAAAGAGAAATTCTACACATAATGAATTCAACTTTGTATATTATAAAAAAAGAAAAATGTGTATTAATGGGGATTTTAAAAAAGAAAAATGTGTATTAATGGGGATTTTAATGCTACTTCAAGTATTTTGAGCGTCATTGCTCCTTTGATGGTAAGAAACAGAAAGCCTCAAAGAACAATGTGAAACTCTTGCTAATGTTTTGTTATTCAAAAAGATATTGACTTCTTAACACATGGTTTGACCATCCCATGAAACACCGGATAAAAAAAGAAATTATTGACGGAGTTTTGGCTTGGCTATTTGGGACAAGAAGCAATAGCTAGGCAATGTGTGGAAATGTGGAGAAAAGCAAAAAATCACAATCATACAATCCGAATCAACAGAAAATATTTTGGTCACAAAATATACTTTGAGTTACATTTCAACCCTGACCACACTAAACTAAATATACCCACAAAAATAGAATGTTTACGAATATAAATCTCATCATTAAACAGTCAGTCTCTAAATATAAGCAATAATGAACCAACCGATGAAGAAGTTAAAAATGCTATTAAAAACTTATGAAAAAAACTTGACATTGAGGTTGAACGTTTAAAAATAGCTTATCTCTTCCTCGAATTCAATAACAAGTTTCTCAATCTCATGAAGGAAGTCTTGAATTAGAAACGCAAATCAAGAAGTGAGTTTTATCGCGAATTAATGCACACTATGGACGCTGAAAATAAAACCCCGAATACATTCACACATACAGAGGTATCTCCCCAACTGGAAGCATCATGGTGAAAGTATTAATGAACATCATATTAACTAGTCTCTCTTCATTTTATGAAAGTCAACTCCTCACAATCTAGTTTGGTTTTCGTTTGGTAGCAAGTGTGATGAAGGCATAATACTTGCTCTTCTTTAAGAAATAATTACTCCAGTGGGATAACAAAGATATCCTCAAACTTAATATAAATAGAAAAAAACAACGGCTTAATATAATCTTTCGTTTACATACACTTAGATACACATATATGTATACAAGTACATCTTTTTAATTCCGGAATACAAACATTGCAATAAGACTGATTTTTTAAATAAGTTCTTGATATGAAACATAAATACAGGAAAACTTAAGAAAATATGATGTTATGAAGATGTTATAGACAAGCGTATAGTTGCAAGAAAGAAATACGACAACAGCAGAAATAGATTTACGTGGCTGATCTGGGTTGATCTCTCATAGTAGTTCTCACTGGTTGGCATGGCGCTCCTCCTGCTGACTGCTGCTGCCTGAACGAGACAGGTCTCTTCGCTGGCCTCCTGTTGACTGCTGTTGTACTTCCCCGTGTGACCCCTTTTATGGCGTTTTTTTATGGCTTATCAGGCTTGTAAAACGACGCGAGTATAATTAGAAGGGAAGCATTTTTATTGGTCGAAAAATAGAAACACTTTAAAATATTATTTTATTTTTTGACTGGAACTTGTGCGTCGGGATTATGCGTATACGACGATAATGGTCATTTTGTGACGGGGCCTTGTCACGTTCACATCCGGCTCTCGTTCTTAAGTATGTTAGTTTATTTGCCTGCAAATCAGCCGAGATATGTCTTATTTTATTTTATGTTATAACAAAGACAATATTGTGGCAGGTTTAGTTTAGCTTTACTAATTGTGATCTATACATTGATATTCCTACACAATAAACAACGTTCGCGCCTTCGATTTTGAAAATTACAAAATCAGTTCCATTGAATACATTTTACGCAGTACAGAACGTATTATATTTCTATAGAAGAAATAAATAATAGAACAATCAAATCGTTCTATTATGGTATTGAAAAGTCCTAAGCCTTGAGCCTTTTAAAAGCAATATAAAAACAGAAACATTCGGCAGTCGCACTAGCTTACAAAAGGGTTTCGTTTTCAACTACCGGCAACTTCAAAAGTTGTCTTCAATCGTCTATCAACTTTTCACCAACCAAAGTCACGGTGAAGTTTAACGTACTCCT